AATTTACTCTACAATTTGAGAGGGAGAAGATAGAATCAGAGGTAACGGTATTACAGCTGAATAAAGGCGACTACAGAGATATGAGGGAGAGGCTGGGCAGAATTGACTGGAAGAGGAGCCTAGCAGGAAAGACAGTGGAACAGCAATGGCAGGAGTTTCTGCGAGTAATTCAGGAGATGCAGCAAAAATTCATCCTTAGGAAAAAGAAGCATGGTACAGGGAGGATGAGGCAACCATGGCTGACTAAGGAAGTCAGGGATAGCATAAAAGCAAAAGAGAAAGCATATAATGTGGCAAAGGGCAGTGGAAACCAGAGGACTGGGAAGCTTACAAAAACCAACAGAGGGCAACAAAAAAAGAAATAAGGAGGGAAAAGATTAACTATGAGGGTAAACTAGCCAGTAATATAAATGAAGACTGTAGGAGTTTCTTTAGATACATAAAGAGCAAAAGAGAGGCAGAAGTGGACATTGGACCACTGGAAAATGACGGTGGAGGGATAGTAGTGGGGAACAAGGAAATGGCTGAGGAACTGAATAATTACTTCATGTCAGTCTTCACAGTGGAAGACATGAGTAATCTCCCAAAAATTCAAGAGAGTCAGGGGGCAGAGCTGAGTATGGTGGCCATCACCAAGGTGCTAGTAAAACTGATTGGCCTGAAGGTGGAAAAATCACCTGGACCAGATGGAGTACACCCCAGAGTTCTAAAGGAGATAGCTGAAGAGATAGTGGAAGCGTTAATGGTGAGCTTTCAGGAATCACTAGAGTCAGGGAGGATCCCAGAGGACTGGAAAATTGCTAACATGACACCCCTGTTTAAAAAGGGAGTAAGGCAAAAGACAGAAAATTACCGGCCAATTAGCCTAACCTCGGTCGTGGGTAAGATTTTGGAGTCCATTGTAAAGGATGAGATTTCTGAATATTTGGAAGTGTATGGTAAAGTAGGGCAAAGTCAGCATGGTTTCATCAAAGGGAGGTCATTGCCTGACAAATCTGCTAGAATTCTTTGAGGAAGTAACGAGCAGGGTAGACCAAGGAGAGCCAATAGATGTTATCTACCTGAACTTCAAGGCCTTTGACAGGGTGCCGCACAGAAGGCTGTTGAGTAAGATAAGGGCCCCTGGTGTTACAGGCAAGGTGCTAACATGGATAGAAGATTGGCTGTCTGGCAGAAAGTAGAGAGTGGGAATAAAAGGATGTTTCTCAGGATGGCAACCGGTGACAAGTGGTGTTCCGCAAGGGTCAGTGTTGGGACCACAACTTTTCACTTTATACATTAATGATCTAGATGATTCTGGCTAAGTTTGCAGATGATACAAAGATAGGTGGAGGGACAGGTAGTGTTGAGGTGGGAAGGCTGCAGAAGGACTTGGACAGGTCAGGAGATTGGGCAAAGAAGTGGCAGATGGAGTACAATGTGGGAAAGTGTGAGGTCATGCACTTTGGTAAGAAGAATAAAAGCATGAACTATTTTCTAAATGGAGAGAAAATTTGGAAGTCTGATGTACAAAGAGACTTGGGAGTTCTAGCCCAGGATTCTCTCCAGGTAATCATTCAGGTTGAGTCCGTAGTCAGGAAGGCAAATGCAATGTTGGCATTTATTTTGAGAGGACTTGAATATAAAAGCAGGGATGTACTACTGAGGCTTTAAAAGGCTCTGGTCAGGCCACATTTGGAGTATTGTTTGCAGTTTTGGGCCCCATATCTCAGGAAGGAATTACTGGCCCTGAAGCGGGTTCAGAGGAGGTTAATGAGAATGGTCCCAGGAATGGAAAGCTTAACATATGAGGAACGTTTGAGTACTCCAGGACTATACTCATTGGACTTTAGAAGGATGAGGGGGAATCTAATTGAAACTTACAGAATACTGAATGGCCTGGACAGAGTAGATGTTGGGAAGATGCTTCCATTGTAGGAGAGACTAGGACCCGAGGGCACAGCCTGAGAGTAAAGGGAAGACCTTTTAGAACGGAGATAAGGAGAAACTTCTTCAGCCAGAGAGTGGTGAATTTATGGAATTCACTGCCACAGAAGGCTGTGGAGGCCAGGTCATTGAGTACATTTAAGACTGAGATAGATAGGTTCTTGATTATCAAGGGGATCAAGGGTTACAGGGGGAAAGCAGGAGAATGGGGTTGAGGAACTTTTCAGCCATGATTGAATGATGGAGCAGACTCGATGGGCCAAATGGCCTAATTTCTGCTCCTATGTCTTATGGTCTTAAAAGCAGTCCAGGAATAGGTGATTATTCGTGAAGTAAGGTCTTAATGAAAATTAACATTCTTAATATTTTGTATCCATTCCAAAGAGTGACAGGAGCAGTTTTATGCAGTTAGGGCTCAAGGGAAAATTCAGAGAATGGGATTTTCAACTTCAGTGTACCTAGTATACCAATGGTAAATTCTGCGTTTGCTCAGAAAAATCCAGTCTTTAAAATGTTAAGAAGCATAGTTATTGAGTTACAGCACAGAACTATGGGACATGGGTTCTAATCATAAAATCTCTGAATATAAAATAAAGATTGATACTAACTAAGTACTCCAAAAAGGAGACTGGAGAAACACCTCATTGGCAATGACTTTTGGCAGTGGAGCTAATCATTTTCAGATAAGTTTAGATTTAAAGAGTCAAAGATCATATAAAGATTATGCTGCTGTTGGTCAGTGATGGAACCATCATGTAAGGCCAGTAATGAATGATGTCGAAGTTGTGGAGTTCTGCTTGATTGTTTTTGAGGATCAGAAAGCAATTATATAAAACTTTCTATCAAGGAGTTAAATGGTGTATGGAAGAAACAGGAGGCTTCATGGACTGAATGTTCTTTACTTGCTTCATTCTTTATATCCTAATACATCACCTCATGAATACAGAATCTTGTAACTCTTCTGAACTGAAGAAAGGACAATGACGCAAAGTTGCGTTCGGGGAGATAGTTTCCCAAAGCCATTGATTTTTTTTTCCCCAAATGAAGAGAACTTATCTTCCGGTCAGGCCAAGTGTACTTTTGTGTATTTTACTTTGCTAATGATGGTAAATATAATGAAGATATAATTGGTGGCAGTGCCTACATTACCACATCGTAAATACTGTCCTAAACATTGAAATTTTGATATTTTGTCCTATTCAATACATTGATGTTCCTTGTGAATGGGAATCTGTTGTTGCATGTTGATTGTTGTATTCTGTATGAACACTATGAGAGGCAGCTCAAGAATACTGTTTAGTTATGACATCCAATCTTGAAGTTGAACCCTCCAAATTTCCACACACAGTCTAGAAACACATTTTCAAGATGCTGAGGTTTGCTCTGAACTGGAGAATGTCTGGGTTTCATGGGAGTCTCATCACTACTTTTTAAAGATTTTACAATCTGCAACTAGTATATTTTGAAATTCAATTTATAAATGTTTTACCTGATAAAAGTAATGCTGTGTTTAACTAAGGTGTGAATTTATTTCACATGCTTGAATGAAGTATTGTGTCAATTTTGATTCCCCTAGTTCCCACCCCATTGCTAATCCCAAACTAATTATCCCCAACTGCCTATGTTGGATTGTTTCAGATTTCTAGCGTCCACAATATTCTGCTTTTATTCTAGCTATCCCTTATATCACTCACATCCTCCACCAAGGAATTCCAAGACTGGATTATATTCCACCGCAGGATCCCATCCTCATTTGTAGTGTTATTTTATATCTAACAACAGAAGAGAAAGGAGCATTTCTCCACCAAAACAAAATTGATCAAAATTGAGAATTCATAAGAAGCATGTGATGTTTTATGGTTAGGCTTTACCTGATCTCTTTTAAGAATATTCACCACTGACAAAATGCCTTCTTGTATTTATTTGATATCAGTTGTACCCTCTAAAAGACATAAAATAAACACTGAACACTTGCTTCATCCAGTAAACATCATAACTGCAAGTCACAGCTGCAATGTGCTTGATGATCAGTAGTGGATGATGATGAGATTTGTGTTTTTGGGTCGCTAGTACACTCATTGTTGCCAAAATTTTTGTAAGATAGCCTCATATATAGACTTATGCACACATGACTACTGGACACAATTCATCTAACTTCCAAAATAAAGGTAACAAAGCTTTTAACCATTAACAGTTGTCGATGTAATATCACACGAGCTGCTATTGCTGCTCACCATACCCTTCCCCACTAAACTCTTTCACCGAAATAGGAATACACCTTTAAAGTTAAATATATTACAACTGACTGAAGTGCCAAAATGAACAAATAATCATTTACTTAGCGTGATCTATCAGAATCAAATTTTCTGACCAATTCTTTTCATTTATGGTTCAAGTTATTTGAAATTGTTATAAAAAAAATGCAATTTCCTTCAGCCCCACTCGAATTTTGTTTGATTCCTGTGCAAGAATAATAAAATACCATTGTAAATGTGTCAGTTCATTACCAGGAGAGAAGAAACATTTCTTGTCCTAAGTAGGATATTTCTCCCCTTTTAACAAAAAGTAGCTGTATCTGAAAGTGGTCAAATTGTTGAAATGGCTCATCACCCCCAACTCCATCATGCTTAAAGATCATTGAACTCAGTTCAAACATTCAACAGCATGCTATAATTATGGCAAATGCATATTTTTACTTATTTGGCATATATATTTACGGATAACACTTGGACTGATTATGTAACTCTGCAGAATACAAATTCGTGTGCAATGGTTTTGTAGTCTTGCAACTTTAAAATGTGGTCCGATTTTGTGCATTCAAATCAATTTTTGTTTCCAAAAGATTGTAAATGAACCAGAGTTGCATGAATTTGATGAAACTGATGAGGACACAGTCCTTCTGTGGCAATGCCAGAGCACCTAATGATGGGTTTCTTCATCCATGTTTATGTAATAGCACTGAATCTGTACAGACCGTGACTACAAACTGACCATTTACAGAATTCTCTTACAAAAGGGATTCATCGATGTTTTCAACAAAAACTCTTCTTGCTAATAATAAGTTATGATTTATGTTTCAACATGCTTTTCTTCCCAATTTCCATGGGTGAGTGATTTATTTATAGACACCAGGGTAATACACAAAATTTAAGCATGGACGTAAAGCGGTTCTAGTGAGTTGACATCCTGTTTACATAACTTCTCAGTCAACACTGTATCACATCAGCACGCTATTAACTTCTACTCGCCTGTAAAAGTATGAGAATGTGGAAATCACTACCACAACGCATTTAAGGGAAGGCAGATAAACATACAAGGGAGAAAATAATGGAAGGATATGCTGATGAAGATGGATGAAGCAAGGTATGAGAAAGTTTGTATGGAGCTTAAAGCTGTTTCACTGAATAGACTGTTTCTATGCCACAAAGACTATGTCTATGTAACTATGCATCTGCAGGATTGTGCTCTCTTACTGAATCATCATGTGTCAATACAAATTCACAGTTATTCTCTATCTGCCAGTATTCAAACAAGACTGGCAACATGTTCAATTGTACCAATTTACTGGCTTAACAAGTTCAGAGGGAAATGTGGGGAAGCTAGATCTCCCCACAGATTAGACAAAGTCTAGAAGGACTGCTGTAGAAATCTGAAATTAATTTACTACAAATGTACAGTCACATCAACTGCAAATTGACCCTCAATATTTACACAGCTGTGATTTTTGTACTGGACAAAACCATCAGCACAACTGGTTGGTCAAAGTCCATATTTAACATAAAATCTGGTTGTGTGGAAATGTACCCAGGAATTTATAAAACCAGCTCAAAAACATTGACAAAATAATCTTGTCTGTCTTATTAAAGATTGAATTCTCTCATACTTCATGGGACTAATATTTAAACTTACTTGGGAGATGATTGACAGGCTGAAAGAGGCTAGACCTCTGAATCTAAGAAACAGGTTTGGCTCATCAGTTAAAGACCCTTTGGGGAGGACATGAAGGAACCTCTCTCAAAAATTATTAAAACCAGTGCACTACCATAATTACCAACAGAAAAGAGGCAGAGAGGTCCAGTACCACAGCAGAAAATAAAGAGACAAAAAGACAACAGCGGAGAAATTTATTCACACAAAATGCTGCTAGCACAGCTTTGCATTGATTGCAGTGAGGCAGATAGTACCATGAACTGCCACCCGCTGCAGCCCACACAGAGTTCTTCAATAATATCAACGAAGCAGCACTACATGCACAGATTCCTACTCCACTGTGTAGATTGCCGATGTGAGAGAATGCTACATGCAGACTAGCAGGTAATGAGTACCCATGAATTTGTATTGCCCCATAATAATCAGTACGAGGGTGAAACCCTGCACTTACTTCGACCCAAATCTTCTGATCAGTCCAATAAACTACTGGGTCCAATGCTGATCAGACAGAAAACTACGCACTTACCTGGATGCAACTTTTCCAGCCAAAATTCCAATGCAGTATCCTGAAGAATTCTCTCAGTGCAATGCAGAGAATCAGCACAGAACCAATGTCCCTTTTGATAGCACTGGCTGCTGTATTACGCTAAGTGTTTAAAGGTCCCAAAGCTTCTCGTGTGTTAGTCAATGAGCGTATACAAACAGGTGAGTGGGTGATTGTGTAGGTTTGTAAGTGGGTAAGGTAGATGGATAGGGTAGTCAGTGGGCAGGGTAATAGGTGACTCAAAGGGTAGTTGAATTGGATTGGGAGGGGATGGCAGGGGTTGTCAGGTCAGGGGCTAGTCAAGTTGGAAAGTCAGTGGGTGGGGGCTAATCAGGTTGAGGCAGGGATAGTTGGGTGGTGGGGATAGTTAGGTTAGCAAGGACTATAGTTTGAACAGGATACGGTCAGATGGTGAGGGCTAGTTATGGTGGATCAGGAGGTTGGGGCTAATTGAGTCAGTTTGGAGGGATAGTCCTGACGTATGGATGGTTGGGATTGTGGGGATGGTGGTCAGGTGTTGGGATCTCTCTGAGCTGTTATACAATGTTAAAACTAAGATTTTACTCTCTAGCACTTTCTGGACAGCCAGCTGGATAGATTTAGTGTCAGAGGATTTGCTTGTCAGAAGTTCAAATCTCCCGGGCAATTTCAATGGGAGTCAGCAGATTGGCACTTCAGTGAGGTCCTGACTCACACCTTGGGTCATATGTTCATATCCAACAGTCCAGAGAACAGATCTGGACCACAAATTCACTGGCAGTACATACTATTTAGGGCGCAGAAACAGACTATTGAACCCAACAGGATTGTGCCAGAGTTTGTGCTCAATTCAAGCCTCCTCCCACTTGCTTCTTGTCTTTGTTCCACTCATGAACATGCACTCTCCCTCCCAGACATCTGCTTCTGTACAATGTTACTGCTTCACAGGATATATACAATACTTTATGGATACTGCATCCAAAAATCTAAACAAATCTGGAAATGGTAAAACCCTTTCAATATGTATCTGAAAGAGAATAAATAATTCATGACCAGATTTTTTATAAGTAATAATAAAAATGATACTGTTTAAGACATTAATCTAAACATTACTGTTACATAAAGTGCTCAAAAATATTTCACAATCATTTCCATTTACGCTACAATCCGTGCAAATACAGTAATTGTCGTTTTATGGTCATTAAGCAAATTAACAGCAGCACTGGGGGCAGATGCTGTTGTAATGGAAAACCGAACTGAAGATCTGGTCGCCAGAAGCAAATGGGGAAGTCTCACTAAATCTGATCAACTCATGGGGAAAAGTTCCTAAAGATGCTGAGTTCTGGACAGCTGTAGTGAATCAAAGAGCAAGCAACATATAATAGGAGGGAAATTGCTGCATTTTCAAGATTTACTGTTGGACACACATTCTTCAGAAGAAATCACCCTTAATGCCCGTAACATGCTCTTGGAAAGTAAAGTTTCTGTGATCATGGGTCTTACTTTACAGTCTCGGTACAAACAGCAGAAAGTGATTGTCAGGCACTATTAGTGAGATTATGGGAGGGAAGGGGTGGTGGCTTACAGAAGTGCAATTTTGTGCAAGGATCACGAAGCTAAAGTGAGCATTGCCACTAGAAAATGGTGCTGGGGAAGTACAAGCCACAAGTTACAGATGTGTTAGTGGTGAGCAATGGAGAAGGGATGCTAATGGATAAGTGGGGTGAGTTCAATTGTTGCTCTTACTGAAATTGAGTGTCAGTTCACTTTGCATGATAAGGATCAGAGAGATTATGACTACTTGAAAAAAAGAACCACAAGTAACGATTTATGGGGTGGTGGGGGAAGAGTAAATCACAATTAATAGGAGCAGTGTCTCTATTCTGACACCTATTGCATTGAGTTATTGGCTGAGATGGGAAGTCTCAAAAGTAACACTATCTTCTACTTCATGGCTGCAATCTGGGAAGCCAGGTTCTCCTGAAGATAGTACAGCAGATACAGTTCATAATGTTCACCAGACTCTGGAACACGGATACTGTGCCGCTCCTGAGGATACACCTTGAAAGAGTTGCAAAACATTAATTACAAATTAAAAAGTATACAGGTATCCTTCCCTAAAATTGAACAGTCTTCCATTATAAGTATTTCTGTTTGTCTTAAGTTCTTCTCTGTTTAACCACTTGGGTTTTTCCACATTTTGCCTAAATTGGGTTTCTTAACTCAATGTTCCTGTAATATTAAAGCCAGTAATTTTTTAATATCACTAGCATGTCTGCAGCTTGGAACTAATCTATTTACCATAGTGATTGGATCTGTTAGTCTGTAAATGAAGGGCATGAGGCCACAATAGGACCTGAAGTAGACACATGGATGTGTTCCACTATTCAACACAATCACAGGTGATCTTCTATTTCAACACTACTTTCCTGTCCATTCCCTGAAAGTCCACAAATCTATCTATCTCAGCTTTAAGTACATTCAATAATGGATCATTCACAGCTGTCTGAGACTCAGAATACCAAAGATTCACATTTGTCTTCATTTTAATCCTAATGATCGAGCCCTAATTACGAGAGATTGCTCTATCCACTCCCAGATGCTTAAAGCAAAGGAGGATATTGTAACTAATCCAGCAAATATGAATATCTGTTAGATCAATTCATTCTTCTTCGAAAACGCAAGATCTAATTAACACAGCAATTTATTCACTTGCAGTGTAACATTACCTGCAAGTCATACGGCCTCCCTGATCGAACGAGGAAGCTAAGCAGTACTGTAGTATGAGAAAAATGAACATTTTCATCGAGGAACCCATGTAAGAGCAACAACCGATTGGGGCTACAGGTGGGAAAGAAAGAAGGAAACATGATCATTGTTCATTTTCTGGAACAATTTACGTTAGGCAGTATCCTCAGCAGCATGTTGTGAAAGTCACAGTTGGCTAGGGTCCTTGATGAACTCAAGACTGATCTACACAGAACAATGTCTATTGCAAAGGCCAACATTGTTCCTTTCCCTGTTTGTGATACGAGTCCATGTGCAATACTACCAATACTAATCTGCGTGTGCTGTTTTTCAGACGTAATTACCCAAAACATCAAAGTTAAATAATTGTTTCTGAAACATTGTTCAAGCACATTTAGATCAGAGATACATCAGATACAGCTCACCAATTCACCACAATAGTTTGGTTGAATAACTGTACAGCACATTAGTTATCTTGTTCAATACATCTTGCTTGAATTAAATATCAAAACTTCTGCATGATGATTTGGACTTTCATTAGCTTACTGTCTCCATGACCCTGAGCAGTCACTGCCAGTGACATTCCCAGTTGCCAGGCCACAGAATTTTACTTGACTGAAGTTACTAAACTCAATTGAAAAAAAGTCTTCCAATTAACTCAAGCTTATAGTTTACCATTACTAAAGGATTTCTTAAGGCTCTGAAATGACAAGTGTGCACAGATCAGATCTGATTGTCTAACACTTGTGTTAGATAACTAAACTGAACATTGTTCAAATATTGAATGTACTTTGGGTTGGAATGTGATGGAAAACTGCTCATCACAACAGAGGTAGCAAAGTAATGATACTTACTCAAGAGGAAACCGGTCAACTTGCATTGCTGCTGATCCAATCTCATAGCCACTCTCATTTTTATCTGGGAGACCCATGTAGCGTTCCGTGTATCCAGTATCATAGAAGATCCATAGTGTCACAGGGGCTCCTGCTATGGCTACCTACACACAAAGTGACCAGTTATAGCATCCGTGTCCACATTCAACAACAAAGCCACAAAGGCCTTAAGCCCATTCACTGGGAAGCAGGAAAAGGGATCAAAATGTTCTATCCAATTTCCAGCTTTCCTCCAGCAAAACACTGGAAAGACTGATGGCATCATGTTTGGTTCTCATAATAAACTTCATTTTTTTTGTGTCAACATCCTATTTGTTCCTGAGTCACACTTCCAACTCAAATGCAAAGACATGGCGACTTTTATCTCAATAACATTGTTCTCCTCTGCCCTTTTTGTAGCCCATCATTCACTGAAACCTTCACATTCTGTCTTTATCACCTTTAGATTTGACTCTCCTGGTTGGACTTCTATGTTCTGCCTGGCTTAAACTCTGCTTCCTGTATTTAATTCCACACCAAGTCTGACTTGCTCATGTGTTTGCTGGCTTCTGATGCCAAAGCATCAAATTTAAAAGTCATGTCCTGAAATTTACCTCCTTCATGGCCTCAAAATTATCATCTCCATTACCACCTTAAATTTAGGGGAGGCTATGGTCTACTGGTATTATCGCTAGATTATTAATACAGAAAAACGCAGCTAATGTTCAGAGAATCTGGGTTCAAATCCAATGGAATTTGAATTCAATAAAAATAAGAAGACAGTTCACCATCGCATTCTCAAAAGCAACTATAGACGGGCAATAAATGCTGTCCAGACAGAGTTGACCACATCCCACAAGTGAGTATAAAAAAATCTTAGAACCTTGGGGCAATCCTTCCTCCATTGAAAGAGCCCTGGAGCCTTCAGCTGCTTTGGCTGCATGTTCTTTGAAATCCTTGCTAACCCCTTACATCTATCTACCTTCCTCTCCATCCTTTTTGAAACCAAAGCTTTTGGTACTTCTCCTTCCTCTGGATCAGTGTCCTATTCTTTATTATGTCATTGCAAAGTTACTAAGTTGTTTTAGGGTTATGAAAGATTGTGATTGAATAGGGAAAGAGTAATGTTTCTGATGGTCAGTCGGAGGTTAGAGTGATAAATTCAACTTCTCACCAGAATGAGGGAGAGGTTCAGAAAAATATTTTACCCACTGAATTGTCGAAGCATGGAAACCTTTGCCACAGGAGGTAATTGAGTCTGAGATCATTATATCTTTTAATGGAAATGTGGATAAATCTTTAAAACAGAGCTCATTATAGGGCTTTGCAAAGAGAGAATGGACATTAGGTTTCCTTTTTGAATGGTTTGGCAAATGGCTGGCACAGATGTAATGAGCTGAATGGCTTCCTTTTGTATTGTTAATATCAAGGAATCAAGCAACCAAAATATGCTGAAAGTCGCTTCCTATTGGTCCATATAGCAACTAAAGAAAAGAAGGTACCCAGAAACAGTGAGTTTTGATTTACCAACTGTAGAAGTGGTTACACACAAAATGGAGGAGGATCTCTTGTGGTATGGTAGTGGTGTACCTACCTCTGAGCCAAGAGACCTGAGTTCAAGTCCCACCTGCTTTAGAGGTGTGTAATAACATTACTGAACAGATTGATATAGAAAATACATAATATACAAAATAGAGAAAAGGGCGATTTTTTTAGTTTTGTTATTATATTTAAATGTAGGGGATCCAGTCACATACTCCAGCTTCATGGGACCTATAGGCCTCCTCATCGGTAAAACACGTAAGTAGTAACCTTCCTAACTTCCTTAGTGAAAGAACTATGTGAATGAGAATAGGTTATCATACAAACCTTAAATATTTCTGGTCTCCTCACTAGACCCATGAGCGACAGATAACCTCCATATGACCAGCCATGAATTGCAACACGTTTCATGTCAATGAAGCTGTACTTGGCAGCCAAATACTGTAGCCCTTCCACCTGGTCTTCAATTTCTACCTGACCCTGTATAAGAAATCCACTGATGAGAATGTTAAAAGCATTTGTTAAAAGTATTGCATGTTTAACATAAACCAACACCAAACTATACTGAGCCCAAGTACAGTTGGTCAAATTTCACAGTCTTCAAGCTCCAAATTACACCAGATTTAAGTGTTCCAGTTATAACTTGGAAGCTCACAATTTACTTCAGTTGAAAACTGATATGTATTTGCAGAGTATAACCTGTTTTATAGGCATTCAGATTATGGATAAAGTGGAGTGAGTTACTGAGTGAGTGACAGATATGCGTATGAGAGTGAATATGACACTGAGCGAGAGTAACTTAAAGTAAGAGAGTCAATGAAAGAGGTGAGTTATTGAGTGTGAGGAAGGGAGCATGTGAATCAGTTCAAATGAATTTAGTGAGAAAGAGTAATTTGGTGAGTTTGAGGGTTTTGATTAACTGAGGGAGCTGCATTACTGAGGGGGTTAATATGGTAGTGACTGCATGAGTGATTATTTGAGTGAATAACTGTGTTAGAAAGGGAGCACGTTAATGAAAACATGGGGAAGAATGAGGGAGTCAATTAACGACACAGCTTCGGTCTAGGTGTCTGCCTTCTCCTCCAGTCCTCCTGGTTGAAGTAGATGATGAAGAAATTCATTCCCTATAAACTATATCATGATTCAGATATTATAGATGACTTCATTACAACTGAAATACACAAAGCCAGCTTCTGAATTGGCAATGGCTCATGAATGGAAATAATGTTTCTAGATGTAAATTTTTTTGTTGCCATTTACTTTTGGGTTCTCAATTACTCACCAAATTTTCATCTAGTTTTACATTTCCTATTCCAGGTGTGCATTTTTGCATGTGGATCCTTGGCCAAAACCAAATTTTTGCAAGAACTCTCACAAAGAAAATAGTGCCTCTGCTTTTAGATCTAAAGCTGAAGATGTGCTTGTGACATGAGGTGTACAGCACCAACAAAGGGACATAGGAATAGGGGTAGGCTATCTAATCATCTACCTGAATGTCATTTTTTTGTGTTACCTCAATGTCCATTGATGTCATTGGTATCTAGTAAGCTATTGATCTCTGTCTTGAACATGCACAATGACTTAGCTTCCATAAACTCTGGGGTACAGAATACCAAGGATTCACTGCCATCTAAGTGAAGAAATTTCTTGTCATCTCAGTTGTAAACAGCTTGCCCCTTATTCTGAAACTGTGTCCCACTCTGTGCAGAAAGGTGCTCAGCTTCTCCTCATAGTTCTGTAGCTGAGATCAGCAACTTTGCAAAGAGGGATGACTAGACCCATTTCTTAGCAATTCAAAGGTACTGCCTATATTATCAGATTTTTATTAAGCTGTGCTCTTCTGGTCTCACGCTAAAAGAACTGCATGGAAGGAACACAAAGTATAAAGCTTTCCACCTACCATCTTGTATTTCAAGGCACCTTCAAATTTAAGGCCTCTGTGGCAGGATCCCCGGGAATCTATGACGACCACAACATAACCAAGCTCTGCTAGAGTGTTCAGGCGCAGGTATTTAACTCCCTTAAAGCGATTGTTTACTAACTGCACCTATGGGATTAAAAAAAAAAGACTTTTGTCTATTGCATCATATTTTTGACAATCTTTTGTCCAAATTACTTCACTGTGGAGTAAGTACTCAGGTGAATCAATGTTATGCCATTAGACAGGACACAGAAAAGCATCATGACAATGTTTCCGAGGATGAGGAACTTCAGTTAGGTGGATAGATTGGAGGAGTTGGATGAACACAAAGTACTGCGGGCACTGGAGATCTGAAATAAAAACAAAAAGTATTGGAGAAACTCAGCAGGTCTGGCAGCATCTGCAGAGAAAGAAACAGAGTTAACATTTTAAGACCGATATGACTTCTTTCGAATTCAAGTTCCTCAAGTTCTTTGTTTCTCTGTTTACAGATGCTGCCAGACACACTGACTTTCTCCAGCACTTTATGTTTTTATTGGAAAAGTTAGGATTGTTTTTATTGGTGAAGGCAACGAGGAGATTCAATAAGAGGTATTCAAAACCATGATAGCTCTGGACAGTGTAGATAGGAAGAAAACTATTCTCGCTGGTGAAAGGATGGAGAAGAGGGTACAGATGGCAAAAGAAACAACTGAAACAGGAGGAAAAGTTTCTTTCATATTGTGAGTGATAAGGATCTGGAATGCGCTGCCTCAGAATATGTTCAATCAGGGCCATGCAAGAGGGAATTAGATTACAATCTGAAAAGGAAAAATACATACAGAGTTATAGGGCGAAGGCAGGGAAGTGGCACAAGGTGAAATGCCCTTCAGACAGCCAACATAGATACAATGAGCTGACTGGCCTACTGTTTTGTAACCATTCTGTGATTCTGTGGGAGAAACCATATTAAAGTTTGTAATTAATTGTCTTTTACAGCTGGTCTTCAATTCAGTGTGATGGTGATCTCCACATCATAATTTTACTGAGCAAGAATCTGCACTTTCCCACAGGGAAGACCACGATTTTTTCCAGCTACTCCTGATGCCCCACCAATGCCCTCAGCAGACAAATACTCTGCAGTTGAGGCCTGGATGCAAAATCTCCATCTGTGCATTCTTCTTTGGTGTGGAGGATGCATGAGGAGGGGGTGGGGAGCAATCTCAAGTCATTAAAGAGAAAAGGTTCAGAAAAACTTTAATCAGTGACATTTGGTCTCCAATAAATATCCATTAGAAATCTTCAAACAAATTATTTCTCATTCATCTGTAAATAGAAAGCACTTACGATTGATTAAATGAGACTGCAAGTGGCAAATATACCACAAAAAAGTTAAAAGAATAACAGGAATAAAAGTTTGTAATATCAGAGCAAATAACTAAACAGCGAGTGAGCAAATAGGAAAAAAGATTTAGCATACAAGAGAGGAGACTATCCCATTAACTTCAACAGGGATTGGACTAGCTTATTTGACTCTGGCAGAAACCACAGACAGGGGTACTAGGCTAACAGATTGTCAAATGAATTTCAACACAGAGAACCAGAAGTTGATAGTCGGTTAGCTCAGCTGATTCCATTGCCAGTACGTGAATCTGATTAACCCCAACAGTGTGTGGCTCAAGCCCTATTCTGGAGATTGTCAAAGGGCCTGCCTCCTGGCCCTAACCACATTTTTAAAAATCACAGCACTTTGCTGTGGTCCATTGAAGACCCTACCACCAGATACAGTGAGGTAATATATTTTGGTAAGAAAATTAAAGAGGTAACATATTATCGAAAAATAAGAACTGAAATTGTGTAGAGAAGCATAGAGATCTAGGGCTCAAATACAAAAATCACTAAAATTGTAAAGGTGGTTAATAAGGCCATAATAAAAAAGAAACCAAGCACTAGTGTTTAACAGATAGAACTGAAAAGTAGAGAAGTTATCCTACTTGTACTGACACCTGATTGGACCATACTTTGAGCAGTGTTCCCTTTTCACACATTTATACGGAGGGTTCTTGTAGTGCAGTGATCATGTCCTTACCCCTTTGTCCCAGGTTCAAGTGCCACCTGCTACAGAGGTGTCATTAGAAAATATCTACAATTATGATAGTCTTAACTATAAGGAAGATACAGAGGCAATGGAGAGAGTGAATAAAATGATTTACAAGAATGTTACAGGAAGTACTAGCTTTATTTACCAGGAAATGATAAACAGGTTGGGTCCCTCTCCTCTCAAAAAGAGAAGGCTCAGGGGTGACCAAACAGGAATTAGTAAAATTATGAAATCTGGTAAGAGCAGACACACTCAGAAAGTTAGAGGCTTTCAATAAAAGGTAGTCACAAACAAATCAAATAGGGTTTTGGAAGAAATTGCTTTAAAATTCCAACAGCCTAGCCCATTAACCCCAACAGAGTGTGGGAACAGTTAACAACAGGGTCAAAACACCAAATTACATATGCCCCAGTAGAGACAGAGCAGCAAGCCATCTCTTTGTCGGTCTTTGAGAAAGTTGTAGATACAGTACAAGACACACAAAAGGAGTCAAGACAAAGAAACACCGAGTGAAGTGTAGGGGAATTGGGAAATAATCCTACCTGAGGGCCACCATATGTGTAAAGCAGGGTGGGGTATTTTTTTCTGGGCTGTAGATTATGTGGTTTGAACATCATTCCGTATAATATATAGCCGGACTTGCTGTGAAAACTAAACATCTCTGGAGGAATGTAATCTGGAGGACAACCTGCAATACAACCAGTAGAATTTCAGGAAAAGAAAGCCTGAATCAGTTTGTAATGGAACCTATTTCAATAGACAGTTTGTGGATTACTAATTTTGCATGACAAGAGAACTATCAGGTGAGTTAGCTCCAAATAATAGTGAGACATGAGTGCATGTCTGTCTGTGATAAGACTTTTAGCACACCTCAGAATCTATTGCCATATCATTTATCTTTATGACTCCTCCCTACCTCTCTGCAAATATCCATGTATTAATTTTTGTAAGAGCCCATGGCTCAGAAAGCCTTGAAGGATATTTACTGGAACATAGGAGGTTGACAGGCAACCTTACAGAAGTTTATAAAATAAATGAGGATTATAGATAGTTAATAATAGTTGTCTTTTCTCTAGGATGGGGTATTTCAAGACTAAGGGGCACAGTTTTAAGGTGAGTGGAGAGAGATTTAAAAACGGCACAGAGGGCAGTTTGCATGTGGAATGAACTTCAAGAGGAAGTGGTGGATGTGGATAGAATTACAACATTTAAAAAACATTTGGATAAGTACATGAATAGGAAAGGTTTCAAGGGATATGGCCAGGAGCAGGCAGGTGGACTAGTTTAGTTTGGGATTATGTTCAGCATTGACTGGTTGGACCGAAGTGTCTGTTTCTGTGCTGTATGACTCTATCGGGGAACTTTCTGGATGTAATGACAGAAGAGAGGAATACTCCATGACCAGTTAATAACAAGTGACAATACCTGGAGACTCTAGCATTGTGGCCCAGAACTCTCTCTGTTTGTGAAGAGGGGCTTCTTCTGATCCAGTCAGTCGGAAGACATGTACACAGTGTGGATGGTCCTGGTTGCTGTACTTGCTGATAAACATATCAAAGTTCTACAAGTGAACAGGAGATGTAAATTATAACTCTGTTGCACTATCAGTTAGCATGAGTTGGGCACTGATTAAAATACTCACAGAGTCAGTGCAGACATGACGGACCAAATGACCTCCTTCTGCACTGTAACAATTCTGTGATAAACAGGTGTATTCATCTGATGTAGTTGATAGCTTCCCACACCAGCAAACAAGGCTGACATCAGTACGTGTAAAACTCTACATGCTAAAGTAATCATTACGCTGTCCAATCTTATTCAACATTTTCCAAATGAAGATCTCACTGAGAAGGATATGGTAATAAACTTTCTCCATCTGGATCTATGGTATTCATTTTGTGAAGTAGATACACAGTGAGTGGAAACCTTACCTGGCTAACGAAACAGTTATGAGAGTAGCCTAACTGTGTCAGTCGTACAATCTCCATGGGACATTCGTAGCTCACTACATAAAGGTGGTGTTCCAAAGGTGTGTCTTTAGTACCTTGAAAATATACCAGGTGAGAAGCTTCATTGACCCATATCTGTCAAAAATGCAAGATTTGAGAAAATATCATCCAGATTGCATAAACTGTGTTACATAATTGCCAGCACAGTTGCTATGTAAAGCAGAGCCTTTTTGTTACCAGTGCCAAACTTAGGTTAAGATAACAAATGGTGGACAAGAGCCAATGAACAGACGTCTATTCCCATATAGATCTCCACTCTACAACACATGATCCTCTTCAGCTCCAGACAACCATTTGCAAGTAAAATTGTTGGTGATTTGTCCAGCTGTGGTGGTTGTAAGAGACAGGCTGATCTCCTTCTTATCCACCGTTCACTCACACACTTTTCACTGTCTAACAATCAAAGGCGAAAATCTGGAAATTACTCCCTCTCTTGACCAAGATATTAATGCCCCAACTTTATTGCCAACATGTCTGAAATCTAAATGAAGGACAGCATTGTTTTGGTGTCAGTGAGTATTTTGTACATCTGATAAACTTGAGCAAGTAAACTCACAGTATTCAGTAAACAACTGGCAATGAAATGTAGATTTATGCTTACTTTCCCCCTACTTCCCCTTGAGTATCAATCAAATCTTCAAGTATATCACACTGTTCCTCAGCCAAAAAGACTGGTAGAGACTGGATGCCAGACTTTTCTCACATCCACCCTCGTACACGACATCTAATCAGTTTGCAGCCTGTTACTTCAACTTGTTTCAAGATTGAGAGCTTGATCATCCTACTCTACTGGCTGTATTCAACAGAGTTAATAGTTTATTGTTACCCAATGCATTAACACCTTTCACTGCTTATCCATTGTTAACAGTGTGAATAATAGTTTGAGCTCAGTTTCAGTGTGAGATAGTCACGTTACCACAAAAGCTCAAAATTGCTAAGATTGAAAGCTCATTTCATGCCCTACGGCATTGAAACTGACAACATATTCCTAAAGCACAAGATGTACCTACCGTGGAGCCATGTCTCCCGAGCACTTCCCAGTCTCCACCCGTCAAAGGCAATTCTTCTTTAATTGGGCATTTAAAGTCATCTGTGGAAAATGGCACATGGATTAGTAAGAAAGAAAAAAAATCTGGAAGAGTTTAATTTTTATAATATCCTTCATGACCACCAAAAATCTCAATGTGTTTGGCAGCCAAAGTATAATTGTTATGGTATTGTAGAAAACCTGGCATCACATTTAGTCAAATGAGACAAGTCCAAGCTTTTCGTTTTGCACTTTTCAGGACTTCGATGCAAGAAACCAAACTTTGAAAAGAAACACGAATTTATACAGCATGAGAAGAGGGTGCTGATTGGTTGGAACATGGTTGGTATGGATATGCAGCACGATCTGTTAACTGTCATATCAGAATATATAGGACCATTCAAAACCATCTGACCAATCCCAAAATTTGAAATGTAACATAAATCTCTCTCTCTCTCTTATATTTCCATTACTTTCTATGCCAAACATTTAATCAGTTCCCTCTTGAATTTGAAATATATTTTCTAAATCTCCAATCCTGAATCCTAAACAATAGGAACATAAACACATAAATATTTTCATTGAATAATGGAATATTCTAATTGGTCAGGTTCTTGATCTTTTGTGAAATAAATAATAACATAGGTTTCCAACTTCAAGAAAAGCTCAAGTTTTCCTACACATTTTACCTGGAGAGGGGTAGCCCCCACTTGACCGTTTATACTTGCATTCCTCCAAGATGGTTGTAATTTTGTAAAGGTGTCGAAAACCAGTCTTACATTCAGAGGCAAAAATGAACTGAATCTCATCGTCCTTCACCTGAGGAAATATGTGCAATATATCGTGCACCTACAAAAAAAAGTCACTGTTGTACTAAAGGCAATGGGCTTTCTTTCAACAAACTCCAACAAAGGGCAAAGCAATAATTTGCAGATAACGTGCATTTTTGTGATATTACTTGAGAAGAACACCAGGGATAACTTCCCTGATCTTCTTCGAGATAATGTCATGGAATCTTCTAAAAGGCAGACAAGGGCTCACTTTAACTTCTTATCCAAAAGATGGCACCTCCACCAGCACACCTCTCCCTTGGAATGACAGCCTTAATTTTTGTGCTGAGGTCCTGTACTGGGATTTGAACCCAGAACGTTGTGACTCAGCTGCCACACAGCGAGAGAGTGGAAGTTTCATTTTGAACCATATATCAATTTGTTTTAAATCATCAACCATTTTTCTTTAATGTGAGAAAGTTAACGTTACAATGAACGTATCACTCAAAATGTGAATTAGAATTGCAGCTAATTTATAAGTTTAAGGAAGGGAACGCTACATACATTTATCCAAATGTCTGTTGTCTCCTCGTAGATAATCAATGGTGTTACACTATCAGGCACAGATTCCACAAGTTTCTGCCTTTCCACTGGATCATCCACCACTGGGATAAACAGAGCAGGAGGAATCAGAACAATTTGGAGTCTGGTCTGGAGTCTATCCAACAGGATGGCCCATGCGCTATGAGAAAATCAAAATTTTAAAATAAATGTCTTGTACAACTGAAATATATATATGCAAAAATAAAATGTTAAACTGAATAGAAAAGACCTTGGGTGAATTATTTAGAACACATCTAATTCTCATGTAAAAGTAAACATGTTTAAAAGTATTGTCAAGGGAAATTTTTAGCCCTATAGTTTTATTAGCTGCACAGACCTTACAGATATCGATCTGTTGTCTGAAGATATTCATCCCATACAGATACCCTTAGCATTTGATAAGTGTTCAAAAGCACTGCACATTCCTAATGCAGTCAGTGACTATTCAATATTACATGAATAAAGATAGCCCCTAGTATCTGAGTACATGGATTTTATACGACTGCAATCTCTGAACATCGAACATCTGACGACAGGACAATCTGGACTCTAATGGGACAGGTTTCTTAGCCTTCTCATTTGTCTTTATAATGATAGATGAAAAGCAGACAAATCCTGCCGGGTGCTAGTGACAAACGTACTATTTTCCTTCTCGGGTCCATCCAACCCGTGCAATGTATTCTGTTCCATTAAAAAGAACCTCAAATGGCTGGACCAATTCCATGTCGATGACATTTGCGATCTGGAGAAGATATACAGCACTATTGTTATTGTCGTTAGTAACTTAGTATGTTTGAAATTTGGTGACTATTATAGGTGCTCACCCTTCCATTAGCATTTATTGTTACTTCGGACATCTTGAAAGTTATTTTTGGATTTAGAGTTCCTGCAATATCAAAAAAAATGAAATGTCAGTTATTTGGGTCAACTCAGAATTCAATAATAATTAAAACACAAAGGAACTTAATCTTCAACTTATTTACCAGTATCAAAGGGTGAGAAAATGGTTAACACAAATAAATTATTACTACTACAATAGATTTGCTTTAATAGGATTGCTCTACTTCAGTCAATTTGAACTGTGAATTTTTATTTTTGGATTGATACCAATATCCCTTGCTCCAAGTCTGACAGCCATAACATTAGCAGTTGGCTAAGTGTGATATATTTACACTATATTAGTATTGCCAATAAACAGTCATGGACTCCACATCTACAGAGGTTATTGCTTGTATGCTGTGACCATTCTACTAGAAATAATGCATTAAGTTAAAGCACAGAAGGAATGGATACTGCATTCCTGCTGTGAAGAGGCATAGTGGGACATCTCAGCCGAGTCTTAACAAAGTGAATACGAAATGTCAATGTACTTCATTTGTACAGGACTTGAATGGCTCACCCAAAGAAAGGCGGGGATCTGTGTTTCCGGTAGCAGGAACATGTTATTGTTACAGTGTATTCACTAGTGGGATTCAGTTGTGAGGAGCTATAATTTGCACAAAAACATGAGGCTAAAGAAAGATTGGGGTGGCAGCAAAGGACCTATTGATAAGGAGATTATGACCAATAGTGCAGTTACATTTGGGGTCCTCTACAGGGTAAATTTCGCAAATCATTGCTGGGCTGTTTGGGGATGATTAGAAACAGACCTGGAAGCATTTTGCTGAACAACTGACATGGGACAGTAACCAAGAAACAGCATGAACTGTGCTTGTATGGCTGTTTGAACGTTAGGCAACTTGTTCTTCCATAAAAGGATAACATAGGCACGGAAACTGATCAAGAAAGGAAAAATAACAAGATAAACAGGTCCAAAGCCTACAGCACTTTCAACAGAATAAACCTGAAGCTGAAGAGTTTACACCCGAATACAGAGGTCAGGAAATGGCGACAGCGTTTCTTACTAAGAGACAGGATGCATAACTGTTCTTTGGGCACCAAATCAAACTATGTTAACTCACACTGCTGCTGCCCTGGATCTTTCAAGTGGAGAGACAGAGCCTTAGTACAAATCTGTTGGCAAGGCTGACATTGCAAGAATTACTCACATCTGGGCAGCTAATCTAATCATATCTTCCACATCTACAGGTGAGTCCAACAATTAACCCACATTTGGGAGGTTGGTCTCTCAGGTCTGTTCCTAAGCATTGGATCTTACAGATCCCAAACTTCACTGTGGAAAGGATGTTTCACAGATTTCTCCAAACTACAGAGACTGTTGATCTTATTGTTCCCTATCACCAGGGCTCACAATTAGTCTGATTTCATAAACCATAAGTGAAATTTTAACTCAGCCAGAGCTACCACTTGGTGCAGATAAAACTAGACCCTATGTAACATATATGTGAGCCCATTTCTATACCTTTCTGCATAAAATAAATAATAACTTAAAGACAAAGCTATGTAAGAAAGCATACTGGAATTGGTGAATGATACACTACTCCTACAATGAGCAGTACTGAATGATCCTGTCAATGTATGAATGTATTTATATGGAATTAGAGAGTCCAAGGTGGCCGTTCTGGGGTTAGTGAAGCAAATGAGATATTATCATATATGCCACACTTCTAGTTATGTATATACAACATTATTTCATAAAAACACCAAAACCACCTCAAATCTTTTGATGTGGAGCAGTGGTCAAACCAAAGATAACTTGCACGTACGAAAGGAATAGCTGCAGAGTTCCACAGTTAATACCACTGTCAACCTGCTACAGATTGCATAAATCCAAAACAGAGATAACCCAAGTGGTTAAAACAGAATGTGTAGTACACTGTTCCTTTTTTTAATGTTAATGATCACCATAATTTTAAAGTCTATAGAGTCCCATACACAGATATACAATCATAACCCAAAATTGTACAGTCTAACTGCATTATAAAACTTTCTTAGCCCCAAGCATTGCGTCCCTACAACTTTTACAACTACAACTCCTGGCATTTTCATCTCAATTTTCTTTTTATGAACCGTCCTTAAAACCATTGCTTTGACCAAATGTTTAGTCATCATCCCTCTTTGTCTCAGCATTGATTATGCTTCTGTGATGTACTCTAGGTCATTTTCCTGTGCTAAGACTGGTATACATGATGTTGTGTTGGAGAAAACAGTATCAGTTATTATGACGACCGTACAGGGTGTAAGAGATTTCATAAAGTGTAAGACAGGATTTCAGCAAGTTGCAAATTATTTCCCCTAATCTAAATCTACTGTCTGAATATAGAAACATAACTCAAAAGATTTAGAGCAAGGAAATCATTGTGTATCTCCTTTACTCAGCATTTAATTGTTAATTCACTTGGACCTTGACTGCAAACTACACAACCTATCATTGTCTCCTGAGGACAAATACTAATGTATCCATTACGCTACTTGCATTCGGATACTCGTTTGTAATTCTTTTATTTTGAAAAATCCTTTCCTTGTAAGTATGGTGTTTCTGCAATTATCTTAAAAGTTGCCCTCTGTTCCTTAGATGATCTTCACTGTCATTTCTCTAAGGGAATGCATTCCCAACCTGTCACAGGTGGCTTTCATTGTCACCTTAACTGTTTTTGGCCACTAGTACCAGTCACCTGATAACTCCTTGTCTTAAATCAATGCAACCATTCCAGAATTGAGAAAATACGCCCCTTTTTGTTGTGTTTTAATAAATTTAATTGCACAATTGTGATTGCAACATGGCAGTTCTTATTTAGGAGAAATATATTAATTCTGGACATCACAGAGATCACAAAATGCCCAAATGACATGAGGCCTATGTAACAAAACAGAAGCCTTACCCGTTCGTGGATACCTGTATGAATCACACCTTCGTGTTTCAAGCATGGGTGAAGTCACATGGATGATTTCAACATTTGACTCATCATTTTCTTCATAAAGTATCCTGAAGATCTTTCCTCCATCTGGAGCTGGAAAAGAGTTGCAATTTCAGCTTCATTAAAATCACCATTAGCATTAACCTAATTAAGTTTGACTTTCTAATTCATTATCTGTTGGAGTGTTTGGAGAAAAACTTAAAATCTGAGCATCCTTGAAGTAATTTTCCTGTGGGTATTCACTTCATAAATGAATTAAATAAGTTCCAACAAACTCAATGGTAACAAATGTGAGCAGTCCATTTCAGAAAATCAGCCTGGATTTGACTCTTAGTTTGAAACTGCACAAATCTGCCATTCTCAGTCTCACCTGTAAAGGCATCCAATTTTCAATCAATTTTCGCTCAGTTATGCAAATACTTGGATATCATTGGCTAATTCTAAAATCTCACCACATTGTTACACAAAGAAGCTAGAAAGTTAAATATCACTGGCTCTTTGATATGGTTTATGTTTAGAGAATTTACCATCATTGCTGTGTGGTGCATCATCAAATCTGGAAATTGGCATTCTTAAAATAAGCAACTAAAAAATTCTAAATAATTGCCAACACAAGATCCAGATAAGTCACTACCAAAACATAAACTACCCCCTATTGTCAGATAAGGTCGAGAGATGTGCTGTTTTCAAATCTCTCCATATACTTTCTCCTCAAAATCTCTGTGGCTTCCTTCAGCCCTATAAACCTTCAAGATCTTTACACTCCCTCGATTCTAGCCTCTCTGTATATCCCCAGTTTTAATCAATCCACCATTCATCGTCATGACTTCAGCTGTTTGGGCCCTAATCTCCACAATCCCTCCTCCCCAACCCAAAGCCTAAATCTCTCCCCTCTCTACCTAGCTCACTTCCTTGAAATGCTCCTTAAAACCTCTCTTTAACAAAGCTTTTGAGTACGTGCAGTGATATCCCCTAATGTGGCTCAGCTGTGTTTCTTGTTTGATCATGCTCTTGTAAAAAGCCTTGGAAAATTTTACTATTATATAAATCCATGTTCCTATTATTTTATGTAATTAGTTGTGTAATAATTATTGAATAGTCCACAGTGCACCTAACAACTTAAATTGCACAAAATATTTACTAACATGTTTTGACGAATCTGCATTCATGATGACAGATCCCCATTACCTTGTTCAAGTGGCCATAGATAAACCTGACATAGTTTGTGGCTAACATCCCCATAGTTTGAAGTGGGGTTACTGGACAACAGTGAGAAACTGGAATACTGACTCCTTCCTTTCCCTGCTCAGAATTACAGATCCTGAATTACAGCTTCCTGGTGGAGATCGGCTAACAACAGATTGAAAATTTAGTCCAACATCTTTCCGGTCAATTCCAAAGAACAGTCATTTGGATTTGAAATATTAACGATGTTTCTCTCCTCACAGTTGCTGTCAGACCTGCTGAGTTTCTCCAGCAGTCTCAATTTTTATTTCCAGCATCTGCAATACTTTGCTTTCATCTTTCTCTTTTGTGTGGCTACGTACCACACTGGATGTTGGAAAGGGGCTGACTTAAATCTCATTTAATTCAATGTACTCTCATACATTTACTTTATGGATATACTTACTGTCCTCGGCCAAAGGACACCACCAATAGCCTGTGTACCGGTCAAACTCTTCCTGGAGCACAAAGCTGGAGATTCCTGCAGATTTGGGATCATCCTCTAAGTTGGGCAAACCTAATGACAAAATGAAAAATTCCTTAGTTAAATAATATTTCCAAACTGCTATCCCTGTAGTCATCAGATAATTCTGTCTGTCACAGCTATTCTATTATTTAGTACTACATAATTTCAGTAACTGGATACTACGACAAAGGTGATAGTATTAATTCTTCTCAATTTGATGACATTGTCTTTTGCAAGTTAGGAAATATATATATTGTAGGGAATTCCCCAATGGAAAGAAGTTGAAAACCATTAATGAAAATGTACATGCACATCACTTGCAAAACTATCCTGAATATGTTGGAAATTACATAAATATCCAATTTAACAAATATTACTTGGGTTCACAATGGGGCTTACACATGCTTGGTAGAAACACAGAAGTATTTTCATGCCCAGAGATCTGCCATCTGCAGACAAAAGGAACATGTCCAGGCATTGTGCCTTTTCTGAACCAAACAAAAGCATGGATGAAAATAGCTCCCTGTTACTGCCCCCATTGTAGTGCCTCGGCAAATCTGAGCCAACGTGACATTGAATCAATACTCCTTTCTCATGCAGTACAATTGTTGCTCTCTTTAAAATCTGGTATTCTGGCACCTGTCCTGATCAGTGCAAGATGAAAAGGGTCAACAGAACAGCATGCATGTCACTTTTTTCAGCAATACTCATGTAAATAAATTGTAGACAAACCTCATTCGTGGGGCAAGGTTGGAGATTTGTTTAACTATTGCTGATGGATGTTCACAATTGCAGACTAAAATCATAGAAAACCTTCTCCTGTTTGGTGCTGCAGAACATCTACCTACCATTGTTCTCAATATCATATTATCTGCACACACTATTTATCAATGAAGATGGAAGACTTTTATTGACTGTAAAGCTACTTGAAATTCCTAAGGATGTGAAAGGTGCTATAAAAATGCAAATCTTATTTTTCCTGGCAAAATCCCATATATCCCTTTGCATGTAGGGCTATTGGGACAGGTTCCATATCTCATTGAAGTACCGAGGGATAATGGGACAGATTGCCTAACACCGTGGATACAGGTTTAGCATTTTTGAGAGTCTCATCAGTACCTCTATGTGCAAATGTTAGCCGTCTTTCCTCCCCTGTTTCAATGTTAGAGATCCACAAATCGTTGCTGTGGATGAATGAAATCCAAGATGAATCAGCAGGACATATTTTGGGATCCATCCTGATGTTAGAACAGCTTGTTTTTACCGGTGAAGGATTTAATGGTTCATTCTGGAAAATTAAACAGCCAAGGTGTTTACTGAAACCTTTATGTTGTCGTGTCATCTCAAAGCACTTCAACTATTTTGTTTCTTTATTGCAGGATAGATGTTCACCTTGTGGTACATAAACACTTTCTTCATTGTTGCAATGAGGAGTCCATCCCCTGGCGGAAAATTTTCTTTCAACACAGTAACATTTGTTCCTGATCTAGGTTTCAACTAACCTCAATGGGGGTAGTACCTTAGTGGTAATTTTACGGGATTCATTATCCAGGCCTGGCTTAATGAGTTTAATTAATAAATCCAGATTGAAATAGTGCCTTAAAAAATAACAGCCATGAAACTACCAGATTGTTGTAAAATCTCATCTGGTTCACTAATGTTCTTTGGGGGAGGAAACTGCCAACTTTACCTAGACTGTCCTACTTGCAATAATGAGGTTGACTTTTAATTGTCCTCCGAAATGGGTGTCACCAGCCACTCAGCTGTATCAAAGTATTGGAGAAACAAAACACATGAGTGTGTCTGCACCACATGAGCTTCAAAATGGCAACTCCCAAAGGCTTCCACAAAAGCTATTAGAGATGGACAATAAATAATGTCCCCTCATAACCCTCGACTCACTTGCCTATCAAAAATCAATCATAGATTCAATGATCCAGCCTCCACTACCTTCTGGGAAAAAAGATTTCACAGCCTCAGAGGTAAAAATTCTCATCTTCGTCATAAAAGGGAGACACCTCATTCTTAAACTGTGTCCCCCAGTTTTCATCTTCACCAGAAGAAGAAATCTGTGTCTTTGCCTTTATTGCATATCAGTTTAACACATAATATAAAGGCCATTGACCTACTGGTCTTCAACAAATCCTCCAACTCACTTTGTTAACACAACCTTTACTGACTGACAACAACTATCTATATTTATACAGCACCTTCAACTTAATAAAATTCCCCAAGGTGTTTCACAGAAGTATTAAAAGATAAAATAATACACTGAATCACAAAAAGACGGATTAGTGCAGTACATTAGGGCAGATGACACTTTTTCAAAGAGGACAGTTGTAAGAAGAAACTTAAAGGAGGAATATGTGATAGGACAAGCAGGAAGGTTTAGGCAGGAAATTCCTTAACTTTTAAAAGTCCAGGCAGTTGAATGCATAGTCAGGAAGGGCCAACAATTAAAATTGGGATGCTGAACAGGCTGGAACTGGAGTGCACAGATATCTTAGAGAATTTGGTGAGGGTTGGGACATGGACAACTGATGTTTGGATGACCTCAGGTTTGTAGGGGTAGAGTGCGGCGGGTATGCCTGGAATCCAATATAACAGCCAAGTCTGGAGGTAACAAAGGCATCAATGATAATTTCAACAGCAGAATGGTTAGGGCAAGAGGGAAGCCAGGTGATAATTTGGGGTTGGAAGTAGGTGGTTTTTAGTGACAGAGCCAAAGTGTGCAATAAGATATGACTCTGAAGTGGTAAACAGTCTGGTTCAGCTTTAGACAGTTATAAAGGAGCAGGGTAGAGTTGGTCATGATGGAGCATAATTTGTGTGGGTAGCCAAAGACAAGGGCATGCTTCTTTCCAAGTTTTAATACATCTTCCCAAGACGAGATTTTTGCTTGTTCTGGACTAGGTTATCAGACATGCAATCTGATAATTTAGAGATGGTGGAGTGATCAAGATAATTGACAGTGTAGATTGAAAATGACGTTAATCTTTCGAAGGATATTCCAAAGGGACATCATGTAGACAAGAACCAGGAGGTAATTAGCAATGGATCCTTGGCAGACAACTCACAGATTCTCAGACTATGTGATTTTGGCACGGAGCCATGGAGCTGGACTATCAGCGTCAGATGATTTCCTGCAGGAAGGTAACATCGAAGGGTGAACCAGCTTTCAGCTGTTGCTCAGTCTTCAGACTGGCTCTAAGAAGGTCCCCTAATGAACAACGTTCTCTCTAAGGTGCGTCCACTCTGAGGTTCCACACATCGACTTTCTGGATTCGGATGTCGATGCCGTGCACAGACCTCGAGGGAGTCGCGCACTGAAAAAAAATTAAAGGGTGTGTTGCAAATGAGGTTTATGACATCTTAACCAAAGAACAGCCCTGGCATGGTGATGTAAAAGAGGAGAAAAGTAACTCAAACCTGTAGGGATGGAAATAAACAATAAGACTCACAGTGAAACCTGAGTTACCACCATCCACAGTGAAATAGATGTTGTTGCTCGCCTGGAACAGAAACATTCCACTTTCTTTGTGGAAATCATAAGACGCAATTCCAATTGTTCCAATTCTCTTCCTTTCCCGCAACAGCTCTTCTTCACGGCAGTAAATTCCATAGTCAGGAACAGACTGGGATCGGACAAAAAAACCAAAAACTCATTCAACATTTATATTAATGATCAGTAAAATAACTACTATTACACTGTTGCCCGTACCTGAAAATAGTCCAGCAGAGGTTTCCATGACAGCAGCAGGACAGCATCCTTATTTATCTCTCGGGGAATTTCAGAGTAGAACAATCGATTTTCCCGGTTTTCATTTGACATGGCTGTAAAGAAATCACATATTAAATCAGTTACACACTGGACTGATTCATAGTAACATTATCTAACAGAACCCTTCAGATAATTGATTTAATGGACAATAAGTTGGAGATCATTCAGCTTTTTGCTCCTGGGCACTAGTTTTGTACATATCATCCCAGGTAGTAAACGTAGAGATCTATGCACCTCCTACCAATAAATAAACAACACTTTAACATGCCGTACGTTAGCATATAGACATAACATGTATACATTAGCAACCACAGCAAAACATTGGTTAGACTACAGTTGCATTATCAGTAAAATATATTGGAGTTATGGAAAAGGCACAGTGAAAACTGACTGAGGGTGATAACAAAACTTATCCATGATGAAAAAAATCGAAAAACTAGGATGGTATTCACTGGAGCAAAAGGATAGATTCAGAAGCTTACAATCAATGGACAGCAAATCCAAGGATTTAAGAAGGAATTAGATAAATACTCGAAGAAAAATACTGCAACAGAGAAAAAGCTGGAAAATAAATAGATAGTTTCAATCTGCAACCAGAGGTAGTGAAAATACAGGTACCATAGACCAAATTGTTCCTTACTGGACTGTAACCTCTACGATTATGAATGATCAGCAAATACATACATTACACACAATGACAGTAACTACCCAGCTTCACAAATTAATAGATTCGCAAACTACACCTGCCATCAGTGTAAAAAGTACACATTCCCTACATTAATGTAACAAACTTTATTGTACACTTCTTATTGTAATGTTCAAATTATGTAATTCCTGCAGTAGTTAATTTACAACTTTTATTCTACTGTTCTTTAAGTTCACTCTTATGATAAGCGCATTACTGGGAATGGAAGCTTTGGCTTTATCATCATGCAAATACTGATAGAAATTTTTAAATCAAGATTTTGTTTTTAACTAAACTCAACTTCTCACACTGCCATGTTAGAATGTGAAGTCATGTTCTTTGAACTGTTATGCCACCAACAGAACCACAAATATAGAAAAGGTATATCTCCTGTGTACCTATTAGCACCGTATGTCTAGAAGTGTACAATATTTGTATATTTTTGATCATTTAGCTGGATAAATAGGTCTATTACTGTCCTTTTCATTATCACTTGGATAAGTAATGTTTTAAGTTATGTTTTAAGCAGATGCACCGTCCCTTTTTATTTCTTCTTCCTTAAATTTTCTTTTTGTTTATTCCCAAAGAAACTTTGGAAACTTGTTTTTTAACTTACAATATCACATAAGTCATAGAGTCATAGAGGTGTACAGCACAAAAACAAACCCTTCAGTTCAACTCACCCATGCCAACCAGATATCCTAAATTAGTCTGGTCCCATTTGCCAGCATCTAGCTCATATCCCTCCAAACCCATCCTATTCATATACCCATCCAGATGCCTTTTAAATGTTATAATTATACCAGCCTCCACCACTTTCCCTGGCAGTTCATTCCATACACACACCACCCTCTGTGTGAAAAAGTTGCCCCTTAGCTACCTTTTAAATCTTTCCCCTCTCACCTTAAACCTATGCCCTCCAGTTCTGGACCCCCCTACCCTGGGGAAAAAACTTTGACTATTCAACTTATCCATGCCCCTCATGATTTTATAAACCTCTATAAGGTCATCCCTCAGCCTCCAATGCTCCAACCTATTCAGCCTCTCCCCATAGCTTAAACCTTCCAACCTAGGCAACATCCTTGTCAGTCCTTTCTAAAGCATTTCAAGTTTAACAACACCTTTCACATAGCAGGGAGACCAGACTGAATGCAGTATTCCAAAAGTGGCCTAATCAATGTCCTGCCTGCAACATGACCTCCCAAATCCTACACTCAATGCACTGACCACTAAAGGCAAATGTATCAAATGCCTTCTTCACTATCCTGTCTACCTGCAACTCCACTTTCAAGGAACTATGAACTTGCACTCCAAGGTCCCTAAATTCGGCAACACTCCCCAGGACCTGTGCATAAGTGTATAAGTCCTGCCCTGATTTGGCCTACCAAAATGCAGTACCTCACATTTATCTAGATTAAACTCCATCTGCCACTCCTCGGCCCATCAGCCCATCTGATCAAGGTCCCGCCAATTTAAAAGTAGTTAATTTAATGCTTTTCATAAGTGGACTTAAAATTTTGTTGTACATTACACTTCCCAATTAAGATCTTTTCTATCCAACTTTTGCTTGTTTCCTCTGTTACAACTTCATTTTAGTTTCCCAAAACTGCACAGATTGCCCTTTAATATTAGTTTGAGGTATTTCCATGTCACCATGGCTTATTTTCCTTAGAGTGGCGGGAGGGTTGAGAGGAGAAAACAGCCCCCTCCCCACAACAACAGCGATCAGATAATGTACAAACTAGAAAAAAAAATCCAAGGTGGAAAGATGGTGGTAACTGTGTCTTGGCAAGCCATGCGAGGAAAAACTTAAGCAAAGGGGAGAGTTAGGACAGAAAAGAAAAATAAGGTGATCAAGGACTGAGAATGAACAGGTTGTTCTCAGACTGGACTTTATTAATACAATGACAGCTAACAAAAGAGACGCCGGTATCTCCCAATGCTGTGCTGGTGATGAGATAAGAACACTGTAGTGTGTAAAGTGCTGGCATGATTACAGGATTGTCACAGTATGAGGTACAATTTAAAGTTTTTGAGAAGATTTGTAGGTCAGGTCGTGGATGAGGTTGTAGACACGCTCGCCAAGCCGGTGGGTTTGGTAGCAAACGTTTTGTCACCCTTCCAGGTAACATCGTTATCTAGCAGGGTGACGAAACTTTTGCAACCAAACCCACCAGCTCGGCAAGCAAGTCTTCAATCTCATGGAGGTACAGTGTTTCTCAATGCATATGGTAACTGTGAGAGTACATAATTTATCCTAAGTACAGATTTTCTTTGTGAATGTACTGTCCATATATAATATGCATGTTTAGCTGTTTTAATGTCAAGTATTTGTGTAGACAACTTATATGACATGCACAATGTCCGTGATCATGTGCTACAATATCACCGGTGTGGCTGTGCGAACAAACCATTTAGGTATAGAAAACCTGTCTGCACACGATATTGATAACAGCTTGCTGCACAAGGAGGAAATTTGCCAATGTATTTTCTCCCTCCCAAACAAGTGGAACCTCACAAAATTCTGAGGAATGGAACATTGTTTTTGCTGCAATCTGAAGCTCATAACCCAACAGCCATTGTCGCAAGTGGTATACAGTGGGAGGCACTTAGCTGTATGTAACAATTCAATTTTATTTTACAAATCATTCTCCAGTTCCAGCCTCCCTCACTAGGAGAAAGGAAGTTCTGACCACATGAAGGCAAGGTAACCTCCTCCAGATGAGGGAGAGGGTCTGGGATATGTTCATAATCTGCTCCTGTCTCCAAGTGACTACTTACAATCAATGCCAGATACAAGAGAGGCCAGTTTGGAGTTTGGCCAACAATGACGGATTAGAAATAAATTTACTGTTTCTTTGGTCCACTTTAGGTGATCTCAGTCAGAGATGTAGTTAAACTTAGCACTCAATCTAGATTGAGCATTCCCATTGCTGGTGGCTGTCTAATGCACCCTACATAAATCAAATTCATATACACTTCAGGTCAAACCTGATCAGCTTGCTGTGATATGTCATAGCCAGAAACCTGCCAACTAGGGTCAAACCTGGTGGTGGGAGATGAAGAATTGATTTCCACAGAGGGAATAGGTGAATAGATAAACAATACCCGCCTGTGTTTTCATAAAGAACAAACATTTTCTGTACAGGATTTAGTGACACAAATAGGGGACAGGATTAATTGTGGCAAGTTATGCAAGATGCTGGATGATATGCTTGTTAAAGGGATAAGCTTTTAGTCACATTACGGCAAATAAAGAATGAAGAGTCACCTGATGGTTCTTATAACAAAAGCTGGGCTGTTACGCATATCATATGCACATAACGCTGGAACCACAAGCAGACAGAGGCAGGCAGACACATCCAGACATAAAACAGACATAATCAGACATGGACAAGGTGATATTGATGCAACTACCAGTCCTGTAGAATAAGCTGTGAATTGTAACAGATGAAACTGCAGGCCTGCGACAGCTGGGAGACAGAGGCTGCTCACCTAGATAATAGACCCTATCTGAATGAGGCCCTTCAGGATCATTTTTCTTTACAAAATAAAAATCATGAGGAGGTTTTGCCATCATGTGCCCATGCAGCTTCCTGCTGTCAGTGATTAACTTCCGTAAGCGACTCCAGGAATACCTCTCCACATAATATGGCTCGAGCTCCTCTGAGTCTTCAATGTCCACAGCAGCACTTGCAGTGGCTGTTTCAAAGATCTCAATGCTAGGTTGCTCAGTTTCCATCGCTGCAGCCATCACTACCCCTTCTAAAAAGATGAGGACAGAGAATGAAATAAAAACTGCAAAGCAAAGGACAAACAATCAGATAGCATTACTTTAACGACGAGAGCACCATACATTGGAAGATCAACAGCCTAACCCTTGTGCCCAAAACTTGAAGGAATCTCATCCAGAGTATAGGATCACTAAATTTATTGCCTGCCAGAGGCCCTTTTGCTTCTAGATGGAAGTATGGCACGCATATGCTCTCTAAATGGAATTGATCTCTTGTTGAATTCCTAAGGGGTTTTCATTGAATGACTGATGGAAATTGGAAACAGTGATGTAACTGAGGTCATACAGTTTTAATAAAAAGGAACAAAATCATGACTTGCTGGAAAAGCTCAGTGGGTCAGGCAGCAACTGTGGCGAGGATGCAGAGTTAATTGTCCAGAGGGGTCATTGGACCTGAAACGTTAACTCTACTTTCTCTTCACCGATAGTGCCTGACCTGCTGAATTGTTCCAACAACTTCCAATTTTTTTTATTTCCACCATTCACAGTTCTTTGGGTTTTATTTTGTTTTAAAAAAAGAGGATTTGATAACTTGGTGCTGTACTGACTGTATTTTTGATAGGCCACCATTGATATCGTATTACCTCAGGCCAGGTGTCATTCTCAATTTAAATTTCAATCTAAATTTCAAAGATAATTTTTTTGAGATTGCACAAAATGAGGGCCGTCAAGATTGATTTCTTTTATTTTACATTTTTCCACCTGACGGTTAGGGCAGAACCAAATACACGTAAGATAAACTGGTGCAATCTGTTGACCAAAAACAACCTTGCTTAAAACAAAGATCGTCACTTCCTTAACAAAAAGAAAATACTGCGGATGCTGCATTCTGTCACTTACTAAATTAAAAACCAAGAAAATAAGATAATTAAATGATTTCAGAAAGCTCTGGTTCGATTATTTATTTAAAACTTTCGATAGGACAGAGAAGTAAGCGAAATAAAATAAACCTCAATCTTACAGAAGATCTTATGTTACTGCTTTATAATTCAAAATTTCCAGATTGCCAAATCAAAACATTCAGCAAATAAGAAGCTGCGGTTGATAGGAACTTAAAACAAAAATGACAATACAAAAAAAGTGAAAATACTGAAATTAAATAAAGGTCCCTATTCCCAAGTAAGAAAAACTAAAGTTTCCAAAGGTTTGAATCCACGAGCTAATCTCGGGATAATTTTTCGTTCAGGTTTTGTCGAAGAAAATTATTTTTTGGAAAATTCCAGATTTCGAACAATTGATTTGTGAAGAAATCATGACTAAGATACAATGATGAAGAGAACTCTGGTTTTGATTTGTAAATTACAAATAAATACAGCATTTTATTTAAGCTCTCCGTGTTTTATTTAACAGTAAAAACACAATTTATATAACATTTATTTCCCTTCAATTCTCACCCACACACTGAGACTCCCTCACGCTCTTCCGGACTCTTTATACACTTCCGCTATCCACATTTCCGCTGCCAACGATATATCAGATGAAGACAGGATGGACACCCTCCCCAGCTCCTAGCCTTTGAACCTCCAGTTGCAGAAACCCCTGCAGTTGCAGTAATAAAAAAGACCTCCGCACACAGCGCCACCTCCGGTCGATACCCCAACTATCGCCCTTCCCACCACCACCACGTCTGGTGAGTAACACCACCTACACGCAGGGTAGTTTCTCACGCAGTCTTAATGGCAACAAGCCACTATGGCAAAGTTGTTATTTTGTGCGGTGCATTATTACAAATATCACTTAGTCCAAGGCGCTATAGCTATGTGCTTGTTGAAGTCTGGAGCTATGCGTATTATTGGTAAAGGTAAAGCCACCATAGTCCTACTGGACCATAGAGCTGCGCTCCCATTAGAGAATAACAGCTGGTGGTAGTTTAACTCGTGGGTCTCAACTGAGGGTAGATTATGAAGGACAGTCCTTCATGGTAATCTCAGCTGGTGCCGGAATTGAACCCACGCTATTAGCACCAACATGCATCACAAACCAGTCATCCAAACAACTTCTGAAGAAGGGTCTCGACCCGAAACGTCAGCTTTTCTACTCCTAATATGCTGCTTGGCCTGCTGTGTTCATCCAGCTGTACACCTTGTTATCTCAGATTCTCCAGCACCGGCAGTTCCTACTATCTCATCCAAACAACTGAGATAACCGGCCCCCAGTGATGGTAGAGATGAAAACACTCTTTCTGTCATGTGGCTGACTAGGAGTCTTTTACACTCTTAGCACCTTGCCATTACTGTGTATTGGCAGGATTTGTGAGTTTGACAGAAACTGTTTGATCACCTTATGAATGCATCTCTCTACGGCAACCAAATCCCAGGATATGACTAGAACTTTCTGATTCAGAGGCAGGGGTGTTACATATTGCACCACAAGTCCCATGTTTACGTTACTGGACAAGTAATCCAGAAATCTGGCATGTTGGAAGGACGAGTTCAAATCATACCATGGCTGCTGTGGATTTTAAGTTCAGTTAATTAAGTAAATCTGCAGATAATTTTTTATTCAGGATCTGGTTCCAGACCAGCCTACAATTTGGCAGTTTTGTTATTTCCTTGCCATATTCCTGAGTCATTTTCCAAAAAGCTGATTTGGGGTTGGGGGCACTGGAATTTGGCTGCTTGCCAGCAAACAATTTGAACCAAAATTTGTTAATGGGATATGGGCATCATTGACCAGGACAGCATTTATTGCCCATCCCTAATTGCAGTGCAAGAGATGATGATGAGCTAAGTTGTTGAATGTCTGCAGTCATTGGATTCTGGGGATACCCACAATGCTATTACGAAGGGAGTTCCAGGATTTTAACCTAGTGACAGTGAAGGAATGACAATATAGTTCCAAGACAGGTGAATTTAAGGGAAACTTGCAGGTGATGGTTGAAATAATTCCACAGAGGCTGGTATCCCTTCACCAAGTCACCATTTATTCACACATGCGTAGTACGTGACACTGACCCAACTAGCACAGAGCCAGCTCCTGGAAAAAGCAGAGCCCCTGATACTCCTGTTTATATCTGTCAGCCAGAATTCCCTGTTTGGACCAGGTTAACAATTCCAATCAGGGAATGCATACTCCATGACATTTACCTGGCTGACCTCATTCCAATCACTATGATGGTGTTCCCATGCATCTGCTGCTCTCGCCCTTCTAGATAGTAGAGATTGTGGAGAAGGTGATTTCAGAGGAGCATTGGTGAGTCATTGCAGTGTATCTTGTAGACAATACATACTGCTGCCACTGTGCTCTGGTGGTGAAAGACATGCATATTGAAAGTTGTGGGTGAGATGCCAATCAAGCGGATTGCCTCGCCCTAGATAGTGTTAAATTTCTTGATTGTTGCCTTGAGCCACATTCATCCAGGCAAATGAAGAGTATCCCACCTTGCTTCAATTATCTAAGAGCTTAGTCAGACCACATCTGGAGTACTGTGTGTAGTTTTGATCACAGTATCTTAGGAAAGATATTATTGCCATAGAGTAAATATAGTAAAGATTCACCAGACTTATTCCCCAGAATGGCAGGGCTATCCTATGAAGAGAAATTGGACCAACTGCATCTTTATTCTCTAGAATTTCAAAGCATAAGAGGTGATATCAGTGAAACTCACAAAATACTTCAAGGATTTGACAAGGTAGTGACAGGTCAGCTGTTTCCACTGTTGGGGAGTCTAGAACCAGGGGCACAATTGAAAAATAAGTGGGATGCAACTTAGGTTCAAGATGAGGAGAATTTTTTTTTTATTTAGAGGGGGGTGAGCCTCTGGAATTCTCTACCACCAAGGTTAGATAATATGGAATACCGGAAGAACTAGCCATTTGTATACAGAACTGGCTCGAAGGAAGAAGACAGAGGATGGTGGTGGAGGGTTGCTTTTCAGGCTGGAGGCCTGTGACCTCCAGTGTGCCACAAAGATCAGTGCTAGCTCCACCACTTTTCATCATTTATATAAATGATTTGGATGTGAACATATGGTTAGTAAGTTTTCAGATAACACTAAACTTGGAGATGTAGTGGACAGTGAAGCAGGTTACCTCAGAGTACAACAGGACCTTGATCAGATGGGCCAATGGGCCGAGGAGTGGCAGATGGAGTTTAATTTAGATAAATGTGAGGCACTGCATTTTGGAAAGGCAAATCAGGGCAGGACTTATACACTTAATGGCAAGGCCCATGGTAAGTGTTGCTGAACAAAGAGACCTTGGAGTGCAGGTTCATAGTTCCTTGAAAGTGGAGCACAGGTAGATAGGATAGTGAAGAATACGTTTGGTATGTTTGCCTTTATTGGTCAGTGCATTGAGTATAAGAGTTGAGAGGTCATGTTACAGCTGTACAGGACATTGGTTAGGCCACTTTTGCAATACTGCATGCAATTCTGGTCTCTCTGCTATAGGAAGGATGTTGTGAAACTTGAAAGGGTCCAGAAAAGATTTACAAGGATGTTGCCAGGGTTGGAGGGTTTGAGCTAAGGGACATTTTCTCTGGAACCTTGGAGGCTGAGGAGTGACCTTATAGAGGTTTATGAAATCATGAGGGGCATGGATTGGGTAAACAGACAAGGTCATTTCCCCAGCATGGGGGAGTCCAAAAGTAGACAGCATAGGTTTAAGGTGAGAGGGGAAAGATTAAAGGGGACCTAAGGGGTAACTTTTTCACACAGAGGGTGGTGCATGTATGGAATGAGCTGCCAGAGGAAGTGGTGGAGACTGGTACAATTACAATATTTAAAAGGCATCTGGGTGGGTATATGAATAGGAAGGGTTTAGAGTGATATGAGCCAAATGCTGACAAATGGGACTAGATTTATTTAGGATATCTGGTCGGCATGGATGAATTGGACCAAAGGGTCCGTTTCGATGCTGTACATCTCTGTGACTTTACGACTGTGGAGATTCTGTCTTTGAATATGTTTAAAGTAGATATTGATAGGTGCAGATTATCAGTGGCATACGGTGTTTTGGGGATGGGGTGACTAAAAGACATTGAAGCGTTTGTTCAGCCATGATCATACTGAATGGTGGGTAAGCTCAATAGGCTGAATGGCCGACTGCTATAGGAAGGATATTATTAACCTAGAGCGGGTTCAAAAAAGATTTACCAGGATGTTGCCGGCAATGGAGGGTTTGAGTTATAAGGAGAGGCTTGGATAGGCTGGGACATTTTTCATTGGAGTGTAGGAGGTTGAGGGGTGACTTCACAGAGGCTTATAAAATCATGAGGGGTATAGATAAGGTGAATGGCAGATGGCTTTTCTCTTGGGTGAGGGATTTCAAGGCTAGGGGGCATATTTTTAAGGTGAGAGAAGAAAGATTTGAAAAAAGACAAGGGGGCAATATTTTTACAGAGTGGTTCATGTGTGGAATGAACCTCCAGAGGAAGTGGTGGATGTGGGTAGAATTACGACATTTAAAAGACATTTGGATTAGTACATAAATAAGAAATGTTTGGAGGGATATGGACTAAGCACAGGCAGGTGGGACTAGTTTAGTTTGAGATTATGGTCAGCATGGACTGGTTGGACCAAAGTATGACTGTGCGAATCTATGATTCTATTCCTGTGTTCCTATCACAGTATTGGCTTGTGATTTGTAGATGTGGATAGACACTGGGGAGACAGGAGACATGTTACTCGCCACAAAATTCCTAGATTCTGACCGACTGTTGTAACCATAGTTTTTGTATGGCTGGTCCAGTTTAGCTTCTGATCACTGACTGAGATTCCCAGTCTTCGGTATATGCAGCCCACACTCCTAATGGGCTTGTCAGGGTATTTGCTAGAAGGTATAGCTCCTGGCTTGGAAGTCTAGATTGCAGCCTCTGAATACATGGTTGGATATTTAGGACCAAGTTAAGGAAAATTTCTTAACTCAAACATTTGTGCACCTTTGGATTATCTTCCCTAGAGAGCAGTGGTTGCTCTTATTTTGAGTATCCAAGACAAAGGTTGATAAAACTTTGTGTCAAAGTGAATTAAAGAATGTGGGGATAGTGGGGGAAGGTGGTGTTTAAATAGAAGATCATCCAGGGTCGTATGTATTGGTAAACAGGTTCAAAGGGCAAAATAGCCATATTCAGTTCCTTTTTTTATGTTCTTATGTCTGATGTGACAGGAGGAGTATCTGGCTTATGTTCTTCATTAAAAGATATGTTCAACAGCTTGTGCCTCAACTTGTAGAAAATTTATGTTTCATTGTTAGCCTATTGGCTCTGGTGCACTTTGTAAATTATATAACTAAACAGCCAAAAGTTCTATTAATGAATGAGTGTGTAGTTTTATGCCCCAGTAGCTTTAACAGCACTTCTTGGCTGCAACCAATTCCTAATGGATGCAGTAAGGGAGTTTTGATTGAGTGTGATTTAAATGGTTACTTGTTGGCTACAGCGCATTGCAACTATCCGGCTATCTTTTAGTGTTCTTATTTTTCTTTCTCATAACTTGAGTGAAGCATTGGTGTATGGTGTCAATATATCAGTAGTTTTAGAAGCATCATGCTGCAGA